ATAATTAATTAGGGCATGTTTACATTTCAGCATGAGTCAGCAGATTTGCATCAGTTACTGAAATCATAAAATATGTTGAAAAGCTACTACAATTTGTCTGTTTAGTATTTTCTAGATCCTTATGTCAAACGGTATACAAGTTCCAAGTGGTCATGAGTTCTTTTACCGAACTAAGTTTTTTCCCATGAGCTGGACTGCTGTGTTTAGTCAAGTGTGACAAAGGTCGATTTTGAGGTTCTGTGTTTACAAGTTTGCGGAAGCCGTAAGATATCTGAAGTTCAAGTGACAGTTTGTTATTATTGGTAGAGGCTGTTTAGTTTTACTCAAAGTTCAAGTCAAGTTTGTGTTGGTGGATGCTGTGTTTTAAAGCTCTGTAAAGGCTATGTTCCTTTGGTATAAACTTCCTTGTGTTAATCCGACATCCCTGCATGCTGATAGTCAGTGAATAGTTATCCTCAAAACATTCGAACTCATGACTTTGAGTTTTAGCCAATTCCATGCTCAACGTAATTGACTCCTCAGGGGCACCCAACGAGAATATAGCTCAAAACCACTTAAACATAGCATTGTTAAACGTATTTTAGTATTAAAACGGTAGATATAGGCATATTGTTATCCCCTAAAATTTTTCATCTGTTCGGATTTCCCAGCTGAAAGTCTACTGATTCGGTTAAAAAAAAATCGGTTAAAAAAGGGCAATTATACCATTTTTTAGATGTTCAAAAATCCTGGGAGAGGAAGACAAGCAAGAAATTTTGGAAAAAATGTTCCGAAAATTCTAGATCTCAAATCGTCTTCCGAACAGATATTTTCCGAAAATTGTCGTTGGGTGCCCCTGACTCCTTACCCATGCCTTACATATCTTTAATCAGTACATGAGACTGCTATGCTGTTTTTGAAGCCTGATGTGACTAAGAAAAATAGAGAATTGTTCTTTAGAAGGATTTGTATGGAGTCATCACACTCATCAGAGCATAACTGGGCTAATATCTCGGAGACAATTTGTCCCGAAATCCTAGTTTTTGGTAAGTAGGCCTCTTGGATGTTGCTCTTTTCAGAATATCCTGACAAATCCCATAATGTTACAAATTAACACCTTATGCTAACCATATTTGATTTCTTACTATTCCTCCGCATTTTCATTTAATTAGTTCCACAACCACGACGCCGAAGTGTACGCTCTGTAGCGTCTTGTTTAATTAAATATGCTAACCTGTTTAAGATTCCAGTTTGTTGTTTGTCGGGGTTTTCCCTGCTGTCTCTAACCATATTCTGAGTCATGTTATTTCTTATTAGCTAGGGGATAAAAAGGTTGTCAGACTGTGTTTCTAGACTTCGCAAACCTTAAAACTGACATAATTGCTGTGGGCACTTTTCTTTCGCTGTGGAGCTCCATAGGCTGGACACGATTTTCCAAGTGACTCAATATTTTGGCCCAACTTGTGCACTGAGATTAGGCACAGTCTGGGCACAACTTGGGCACAAGTAAGGTACGCTTTTCAAAACTAAAATGCACACTTTATGCACATCTTATGCACATTTTAGGCACAGAATCTTTGTGCCAAAGCACACTCTAGAATCCGATTTTTGGTCCAAGCACGGTTTACGAATTTTTATTTTAAAAAATGCTTTCTAACCTTAGATATTTGATCTTAGCGTAAAAATGGGTTTCCCAAAGTGTTAACAGTTAGTCTATAAGGAAGGTTTAACTTATGAGCATTCCAAAAATTATTTTCTCTCCTCTTAACAACAAAAGAAAGTCAATCAAAAGCAATCTTTTAAACTGACATTTGCACTGCACAGAGATCGGATCTAGACAGAACATCTTTCTGAAAACGCCCTAAACTTTAACTTTAACTTTGTAACTTTATTTGATTTTACCACAAAATACAAATAACGATAAAACAAGACAATTACACAAAAGCAAATGAAAGTGGCGAGGAAGCCGCAAAATTAAAGAAACATGATGAGGCTTATAGACATTGGGCTCCCTCAGAGTAAAAATAAAGTTAACAGTAACATAGCCTGCGTAACAAGCGTTTCCGTTTGGTTTCGGAGCAAAGAAATAACGAGGAAGGGGACTTTCGGTTTTGACCGCGCGAGAAATGAAACGAGAGCCAAAAAGTGAAAGAGGGGGGAGGGGGAGGGGAAGGAAGGAAACACTTGCAGAAAACCCCTCGATTTTGAAAACCTGCATTCGCCAGCGAACGCAGCGCCTGATTGGCTCAGCTAGTCGAACAATGTTGACATGTGTCGATCAAAGGTCTGTTTCATACTGAGAGGTCACGTTTGGTACGTGACACGCATATTAATTTTCTGTGGTTATTGTTTATTCTGGTCGGCAAGATTTTCCCTCCAATGCAAGAGCATTTTATTTAACTTCTTTTGAAACACAAAGCTGTTCTTGCGAATTAATAAGGGTTTCAGGTCGTTTTATTTGTCTCCTGGATCTGAATAACTAAAAGCGATTTTCTTTTGTCAGGTAGCCTGTTGTCAGGGAATACGATGGTTTCCTGCAATGTTTTGTTATGCTGGGCCCAGCTTGTTAGTGTTTGTTAGTTTTTTTTTTGCGGGATGTTGAATTCTCTCGGATAGTGATTTACAGATACAAATTTTGAAGAATGGATTGCATCTTAAACTGAAGCTACATCAACTAGGAAGACCTGCATTGTGACTCAGTCAAAATTTCTGCTTGGTTCTCTACGCGAACTTCATCAGTTGCCGGGTTAGCTTTGTTGTAGGATGCTTTTACAAGAGCACTCTAGTTGTCTGTGCCGTTGCGAGAACGGTAAGCCGTTCTGTCTAGCTGATCTAGACTTGAATGCTTGTCACATTTTACCACTTCAAATCCAACTTTCTGGAGGTTTAGAGCTAAAACTTTAAATCTTCATTCACCCTCGCGGTCCTTCCTTTTAGCAAATTAAGAAGAAAAATGTACAAAGCCTGCATTGATCGTTCGGATTCATTGAGATTTCACCATCAACGCCGTCCACGCGCTCCAAAATACCAAAAAAAATTATTTTGATTTCACAAACGAGTCCTCTAAAGTTCATTTCCGCTCCATGGAAGGCCAGACATTTTATTGGTCAATTATGACAGTGGATGACAGCATCAAGTCGGTGGTTTTCAAAATGCCGGGGTTTGTCTGCAAACGTTTCCTTCCTTTCTTCCCCGCCCCCTCCCCGCTCTTTTACTTGAGCCACTTTTCTCGCAGTCTTTGACCCTCGTTCCTCGTTCTTTTCTCCTAAACCGTACAGAAATGCTTGCTATATATATGCAGGCTAACAGTAACAGTAAGGCCAGGATCAAAAGTAAAATACAATGAAGGTAAGTATAAATTAACTAATTACATAGACTTACTTGACAAAATGTAAAGTATGGTACATGTAACAATAAGTATAAAAATAATATCATACATGTGAAGAAAGATAACTATTTACTACAAGATTTATACCTAATAATTTATATATAATGTTTTCTTCAATTTCGTTTTGAATAAGTGGAGAGAATTAGATTCTTTAATATCATTTTCTATAGAGTTATAATAAGTAGGTCCTTGGAAACTCAGTGACAGAAAATTTACAAAGGTTTGTTCTACAAAAAGGATTGTAAAAATTGTTTGAGTATCTAGTGGCATAGCTATGGACTTGTTTATTTAAAGAAAAATAATTGTTGAACTTTGAAGGCAAAAGAGAATAGTTCAGAGCAGGGCTGTCATTAAGAGCTGGGGGCCGGGGATTTCCCCTGGTCACTATGAGTGTGACCCCCGGCTACTTTTATTGGAAAATAGAAGAAAATTAGAACCAAAAGAAACCCCTACTAGGTGTTTGATTCGCCACCTACTTGTTGTATTTACCCGGCAACTCGAAATCTTAACGACCACCCTGTAAGAGAAAACAGAAGTTTACCCAATTCTAGTTGTCTAAAATATCGGAAAGTTTTAGTAGCTCTAATTCTTTGAAAATAGGGTCTGAATGAGAATCGAAAGTTGATGTAGAAATAATTCTGATAACTCGCTTTTGCAAAGAGACAGGACGGCGAAGATTGGTTTTGTACGTAGATCCCCAGACAATAATACAATAATGAAGATAAGGATAAACTAAACAATAATAAAGAGTTTTTAGACAGGGTTTAGGTAGAAAAAAATCTTGCTCTATTAATGACACCTATTGATTTCGAGATTTTACGAGCTACTTGAGAAATGTGCGGTTTCCAAGACAGATGTTCATCGAGGACTACACCGAGGAAGACCGTTTCCTTAACCTGTTCGATTCTCTGTTAATTTATGCATATTTGCATTGGAAAATGATGCCTTTTCTGTCTAGGCTTAAATAACATAAAGTTTGTTTACATCAGGTTTAAGGAGAGTTTGTTTGCCTTAAACCAAGTGGATAATTTATTAAGTTCGGAATTGAGTGAGGCTGCCAGGTAGACAGGATCTTTGTGGGACATAAATAAATTAGTATCATATGCGAATAAAATCAGCTTGACAAACTTTTTGTCGGAGATGTTCAAGCGAAAGTGTAAAATTTCCGGAAGATGTATGTTGTTTTGCCATTATGTTGCTATTATGTTCAGTGATTTTTAATACAGTTAGTACTCATAAGTCACTGACCTCTCTGGAGAAATTTTTCCAAAGGACTGTAAATGTAATGTTAGCTGTTAAAAATGGTCCCATTTTAAGCCATATTTTTCATATTTTAATTTTATTTTGGTCTTACAACCAGAAAAATAATATTCAATGAAAAGTTGTTTATGGACTTTAACTTCTTGCCAAATATCGATGCGATCTGAGTTTTGATAAGTTCATAAGAACCAAACGATGTGAGATTTTTAGCAGTGTACACCAGTAGCGTGCATGCACCAGACCATATCTCCTCTTAAAAATACTGCATTCTGCTACATCCTTTAAGGTCTTTTATTCAATGCTCTTGCCAACTTTGCATTTTTACAAAATAAATACTTGAACCTATGCTAGTATTCATGTTTTGTTTTGCTTAACTTGTTGTGCATATCAAGTTCTACCAATCATTAAAGATGCACAGGGGCAACATGGACTTCGACATGGAGACTATCAAAGATACAGGTATAGCAAGCTTTTTTTTATATCATCTAGGTTGCATACAACTTGCATGGCATAAATTACATTTGGATTTTATGGAGTGGCCATTTGTTACATTACAACAACAACAACAACAACATAAACTTTATTTTCACTTGAATTTTGGAGTAGCTAGTGAGCCAATGCATTGTATTATTGCATGTTATTAGTTTACTTTCTTGCACTTTTGACACTGAAAATACACATTTTTCGATAGACTGTGAGCAGTCTTTCTTTTGCTCAAAAGTTTGTGAGCAAGCACAATATGTGATAATGTGAGCCACGAGCAGCAAGTTGTGAAGGGCACCAGTAGATAGGCCGGTCAATGAAGTGATGATGTGCATCTGCCATCAGTAGCTCATCAACATCAGTTGGAGACCTGGCCCATGCTTTAAATGAATTTGACCCTCCACAGGATTTTGAGGAGTAAGGTAATTTCATGGGCACGTATGTCATGACACGGCATTCAATGTCATGGATATGTGCATATTTATTGAGTAAAACAAAAAGTATCACTTTTCCTGCATATTACCTTTGTTTGTTTCGGGAAAGTTCTCTGAAAGATGGACATAAAATTATTATAAAATTGGAGTAGCACACATGCTATAAAAAAACAGAACATGTATGGAAAAAACGAGAGGCGGTGTGTAAAAGGTAAAAAATTTTTTTGAGCCCAAATGAAAAACTTTTTGATAGAAAAGTAAAAGTAGCAATAATAGTCACTGATGTTTATTTTAATGCAAATCGTACTTTTTAATTCAAAATTTGAGAAATGAAAATCCATGTAACAGAAAGGATTCTTCTTAGTTCAAAACTCTCGGGTCATTAAAAAGAAAAGAATTTATTTTATTTATTTATACATTTTGCCACATAGAATAGATATTACAGAAAGCAAAAGAAAAAGTATTACTAAGACTGCAAATTTACAGCTACAAAAATGGTTCAAAAAAAAATACCATAAATGTGCTGTGCGACAAATTAAGGACTTTTTTTTTGTCCGGGAAAGTTCTCTGAAAGATGGACATAGAAATAATAATTAAAAAAAACAGAACACGTGTCAAATATTTTGACCCCAACTGACCTTTTGATAGAGAAGTGAACGGGCCCCAATTTAACCAAAAGGCGGGTCGTATTTATTTTATTTATTTATACATTTTGCCACATAGAATAGATATTACAGAAAGCAAAAGAAAAAGTATTACTAAGACTGCAAATTTACAGCTACAAAAATGGTTCAAAATTAAATGTAATATTAAGTGACTTAAGGTAGAAAATCAATAGAAGCTAAACAAATGGGCTCCTCATACTTAAGAGCCAGTGAAGAGACAAATAGATATCTTTAAAGTGTCCCCTCTGAACGGAAAATATAAGTTGAGAAAAAGGTGATTAAAAAGATCCCTCGCTTCATAAATAAACTCGGTCCACAAATACTTCTCAGGAATCTGGGCCAATTGGCAGTTGGATAAGATAACATCCGTTCAATCACTTTTATTTTCAAGTAGCTTGGTGTTTCGACTTTCGAGCCACATTTGCATTAGAATCAATAGTGAGATCAACTCTTTTTTCATGGCTGTGGAAATGAAAGATCACAAATGCAGCCATTGCTCGGTCAAAAACCAAACTGGCTGGTAGAAGGAAAAGAAGAAAAGACAGTTTGGCGGCTTCCACTGAGCCAACTATTAACAATTGCAATTGATTGGGTAACCAGTATTTTTCTTCTGTTTCAGGTCTAGTTTAGCTTACAGTAAGTTTTTTTTTTTACTACATTGGCAAATAACTGAGATAATTAATACTTAGTTATGATTTTTATGTAGTCTGACTCTGACTACTCTGAGTAAACATGCTAAGACTAATGGACAAAGTGTTCTTTTTCATTTTCATTTGTTGAAATTTCTTTCCATTGCTTCTTTAATATTCTTCTTTCGTGTCGTTGTTCATTGAGATTTGCTTTTACCCTTCACTTTGTGTGCTTTTTTGTCCGCCATGGACAAAGAAACAAAACAACAAAAAAATAATGCTGTGTCGAGTCGCTAACTTAAAGAAAAACATTTCTGATTATTCATCCACCGGCCATGGAAATTCCTGCCAAAAACAGCAAAGTGCTGTCAATCAAAAAGAGTAACTTTTACTTCTGGTACAAACGAAACACCGTCATTTCTCCTCCAATATTTACTCTTCTCCATTTTTTCTTTCTTTTTCATAAAGATCGGACTTAAGGACAGTGCCCACTAATGGGAAGTATTTTTTCCCAGATAATGACTATGTGACAAGTAGATCATGTCAGGAGCTATTGAAATCCAAAAAGAAAACTGGGGGTAACCACGCATTTTTCAGAGATAACTGCGCTTCAATATGGAGAAAAACGCTGAATAGGCGTTTTTTAGAAAAATGATAAAAAGTTATTTTTCCCAAAATTTCAGAGTGTACGCGTGAGCTGGCACAAATGCAATGATAATTGTAACTAGTTTTAAAAATAGGCAACAAATGATAACATAACAACTGCTCTTTATACGTCTTTTTTTGAAATATCAGCACAACTGGGAAGTTATCAGCAGTTACCCCTCTCCACGCGTTTGCCTCATAAATAGTGTAAACGACATTTTCCCCGAACCAAAAATTGATCGTTTGCTGGGTAGGCTTATTACTTTCATTTGGTAAGATAAAAAGTAGGGGTTACCACGCGTTTTTAGAAGTTAAATTGGTTGGTTTCGACCTTAACTTAATTGCTTTGGGGGTTATTTACAATATGATAATATGATAATTGTAACTAGTTTTAAAAATAGGCAACAAATGATAACATAACAACTGCTCTTTATACGTCTTTTTTTGAAATATCAGCACAACTGGGAAGTTATCAGCAGTTACCCCTCTCCACGCGTTTGCCTCATAAATAGTGTAAACGACATTTTCCCCGAACCAAAAATTGATCGTTTGCTGGGTAGGCTTATTACTTTCATTTGGTAAGATAAAAAGTAGGGGTTACCACGCGTTTTTAGAAGTTAAATTGGTTGGTTTCGACCTTAACTTAATTGCTTTTGGGGTTATTTACAATTTTCCCCATCCCCTCCCCGGTCAGTTTCACTATTGCTTCACTCAACGCGGAGTACTCTGGGATATCCACAATGGCTAACAGTCAGAGAAAACAACAACACACGGAGGAGAACAAAAACAGAAGTTGAAGCACGGCATTTCATGGACTCCAAGGAAAACAAATTATACTATTTCATGCAACTGGAACTTCTCCGTCTCAAACATTTAACAAAAATTTTTGGAGAAGAGCAATCTCCAAGGTATTACAGATTGCTTACAGCGCACATAGAGTAGTATGGCGAGTTCAAGATCCACAGTTGGTGCTGTAAACAAACTACTATACTGTAGTGGAATAGTCGACAGCGATTCTTAGACAGGTACTCCTTCAATCGTTTGCTAACCTGTACATGTCCCCAAGATTTTTTGAACTGTAGATGTAATATGGATTGTAAACCTTCTATCGTTTTTTTAGTCATTTTACCGGGTACTTCGATCGAATATGTTATTTAACTTGCATACATTCAATGAGCTTATATCTGTGCTTTAAGCTATCTCTTTCGGGCTTTGCCACAAGTGTCATATGACATAAATGACTTGCACTGACTGAAGTTCCATACATGAGCTCTCTTTCAAAAAGCTGAATAGTGTGAAAGTAGTTGTAACGAATACGTTTATGTACCCTCATATGTACACTGGGCTATAATGATCATTTTATATATTTCGTTTTGATTTTTTTTTACCGTAGCATTCTGTGTCATGATCATTCACTATTTTTCGTTTCCAAATGTTAATGTTAGACTTAACAGTGTCTGTGAAACCTAAGAAAGACTTAGAATGGAAATACTTTATTTTGCCCCCGGCTTCCATCTTTAGTTTGTAAACAGCCAAATGGCAGCTATGTCTAAATGTCCAGATTATGTGTGGCGTGAAATTGAACCTTATGAAATACTATCTACACGACAAGCTGCCAAATGAGTCAATAATTTCAATGCTTGGTAATGCCAAAATGCTTAAATAACAATGATAATAGTAAAAAGCATAACAATTTTTTTATCATTTTTTCCATGGTGAAAGTGTTTCCTTTGCGGTCAGCGACTAATTGTGAAGCTGCGATCTCAGCAATCCAAACAATCTTGTGATAGTTTTTTTCTCCAGTTGTTTGTTCAACAAATAAAAGCCTCGGACTCTCAATAAAAGGGACATCTGTATGTACTCGAACGCTTTAAATCTATCTTCTGGTGAATAATTACATAAAATCTTACAAAATTAAAGAAATATTCGGGAAAGTGTTTATAGCCGATTAGCCGATAAAACGCGAAGAACGCGAGTGACAGGTAAGCTTGCAGTTTCTCGATTAAGCGGAGGACGTAGGGCTATTTTCCTTCTGATTTACTGATCCTTGCCTATTAAGGGATTTTTTAATACCCAGGCTCTAAGTGTAACATCTTGAAGCAATAACTTTTGATGTTTTAGAATTGACTTTTGTTTGACTATAAAATGTTCAGTCAGATCGATCATACGTAGAAATAGCAACACTCGCATACTTCTTCGGTTTTCAAAGAACTGATACGGTAAATAGAAATCATTTTTCATCGGTTGAAAAACGACGCATCTTTTCCACAAGAAATAACTCGAGCCTCCCCCGGTCCCCAGACTTACAGGGGACAAAACCAGTCCGTGCATCCTGCGTGTTGCACATTTCTTTCGCGTCGCGCGCGACTACCTTGGCATGCGCAGAAAATGACTGCAGTAATTATAGTGGGCACCGTCCTTAAAACTTGACTATGAGCCAAAAATCAAAATTTTAACAAAATGATTCATCTGAGGGTATCTGGTAAGCTTCAGAGATCCATGTGTTATGTCCAGCACCAAAACATGTCGATTTGCACAACTTTTTTGCCTACGTTTTTCTCAATTAAGGTGACTCGACCCAGTTTTTTTGGGGGGTACCATCCTACTTTGAAGCTCTCTGGTATCCCCACCTTTACTTTTATCGTAAGTCTAACACATGATATAGAATGGATAACATATAGATCAATCTACAATATAACATAAAATTTTTGGCAATCGGAGTAAATGTCACGTGGTTATAATGCCACGCCCCTTTGAGGTCTGAGTCGAAAATCTGCTGTTGCTGGCATGTTTTCGTGAAAATCTCTCGGCTACACATAGTGCACATTAGTGCCTTGCGCTGAACAGAGTTTCACCAAAATCGCAAAGACCCAATTCGAGAAATTCAGCGGTTTCCAAATTTAGGTCATAATTTATGTGAAAATGATAAGCAAACTTTACACGGATTATATCTAATAAACTATGAGATTCATCTCTGTATTTTGAGCATCGTTATAACAGATGGGTCCTCGCAACTCAGCAAAACAATTTAGGGCCTTGCAAACGTGCACGATTTCAAGCAAAGCAAACATATAGAAATTATAGTTTTCGCTATTTGTTGACGTTTGTCAGCGTTTAAGAGTCCTTCTCACGTAAAAAGCATTTTCTTAAAAATTCATATTTTTTTTTCCTTCAAATTTTTTCAGGGCCACAATTGATTAACTAACTACCCGGACTCTGAATTTCATGGTCATTGAAAAACTGTGACATTATCTTCTATAAGCCCAAACTTGAGTAAACACTGAAGATTTTTAGCGTTTTGGCTGAGTTTGTGCTTTGGGAGTTGTCTATTGTTTCTAGTCTGTCATGATACAGCATTCTTGTTCAGCACGCGTGACCGCGCTTGGCTGACTTAATTCCGAATGCTCACCTAGATATGATAATTTTGGTACAGTGATACATAGAGGTTTAACTCACAATTTTTAATCAATTCTTGTGCTTCTTGTGCCTTTGCAAAAAACTCAAGACTGAAGTGCTACACACTAAAACTACTTACTATTAAAAAAATATCATTTTTTCATAGGTTTAATGCAAGCCAATAATTAAACCAACTCGTGACGGGAATCCCTTCTATTTTCTTGTACTAAATTGTCATATCTCGGTGAGCATTCGGAAGTCAGCCAAGCGTGGTCATTGCACGCGCGCTGAACAAGAATGCTGTATAATGACAGACTAGAAACAATAGACAACTCCCAAAGCACAAACTCAGCCAAAACGCTAAAAATCTTCAATGTTTACTCAAGTTTGGGCTTATAGAAGGTAGTGTCAAAGTTTTTCAATGACCATGAATTTCAGAGTCCGGGTAGTTAGTTAATCAATTGTGGCCCTGAAAAAATTTGAAGGAAAAAAAAATATGAATTTTTAAGAAAATGCTTTTTACGTGAGAAGGACTCTTAAACGCTGACAAACGTCAACAAATAGCGAAAACTATAATTTCTATATGTTTGCTTTGCTCGAAATCGCGCGCATTTGCAAGGCCCTAAATTGTTTTGCTGAGTTGCAAGGACCCATCTGTTATAACGATGCTCAAAATACAGAGATGAATCTCATAGTTTATTAGATATAATCCGTGTAAAGTTTGCTTATCATTTTCGTATAAATTATGACCTAAATTTGGAAACCGCTGAATTTCTCGAATTGGGTCTTTGCGATTTTGGTGAAACTCTGTTCAGCGCAAGGCACTAATGTGCACTATGTGTAGCCGAGAGATTTTCACGAAAAAATGCCGGCAACAGCAGATTTTCGACTCAGACCTCAAAGGGGCGTGGCATTATAACCACGTGACATTTACTCCGATCACCAAGAATTTTATGTTATATTGTAGATTGATCTATATGTTATCCATTCTATGTGTTAGACTTACGATAAAAGTAAAGGTGGGGATACCAGAGAGCTTCAAAGTAGGATGGTACCCCCCCAAAAAAACTGGGTCGAGTCACCTTAAGTTCCTGTTGTATGGACGTAATATTCATGAGGGCTCTGCATTAATTCTCACTTTGGTTGCACAGTTTTTGCATACACAATGGAAAACAGGTCACTTTGGAACACTGTACATCCACCCTGATCAAAAATAGAGGATAGAGAAGGCCTTACTGCTCCCCTTCAACAAAAGACATTAAAAATATTTTCCAAATTTTGATGTGTACAGCTGTCATCCCTCATTCATCTGAAAGTTTGCCAGTGGTGGTTTTAGAAGATAAATGTCCATAAACAGTTTTAATAGAACGCTTGCACAAACAACAAAAATCGTTTGACTGATCTGAATATTTTTCCTCTCCCTGTTAGAAACAGGCTTCTTTGGTGTGGTACTGCTTATCGCATATTCCATACTTTGATCACTTTGATTGATTCCCGTGAAAAATTTGACACTAGGTATCACTTTCAAAAATGAACGTGGATGATGTGTGCCAGGGCAGTCTTTCTTTTTGCTGGTACTGGCACTCACACAACTTGCTGCTTGCAGCTTCATTGGTCGCACACTCACATTTCACACACGCTCAGAGACTGTTCAAAGTCTATAATACTATCCATTACAGAAATGCTCTCAATTGAAAAACATCACCAGCCTGTGAAAAAGTGGATACCCATTATTTGCAAACACGAATTCAGGTTTCATAGGTTACCCTGGTCATCACCTTTTGGACTCTTGGGAACCTTAGGGCAACTACTATAAAAATTCTCACACCTTCATGACACAAAACTTTTTTATCATTGGCCAGATAAAGCTACTACTGAAAAGAAAATAATATTCATGAAACAAAAAGCATTTTCTTTTGTGTATTCTGTCATTTCAAACACCTCCCAATCTTGTAGTCTGTTGGGAATTGACTTTATGGCAAAACAGATAAAATATCTATATGAAGATAAAATTCTTCTAAATTAAATCAGTCAGTGATAATTAAAAGTTTGTCTGAATAAAAACATAAAGCTGCATTTATTATTACCCAAAGTGGCAGGTGCTTTTATGAGGAAAGAGATTGCAGTTGAGGCAATCAAGTATCATAATAGGTTATAACTATCACTATTTACTACATCATTTAAACAAAGTAATATTATGTTAGCAATTGACACTCTCTATATAATTTTACGTTTGTTTGCATTTCAAAGCTCAGCATTTTTCAGTGGGCATGTTTCTGTAATGCAGGGTTGTCACTAAGATTCTAAGGTGAATAAGTAACATAAACAGCAAGTACATGTATGCAGAAAATGAAACAGCTAGGGATTTCTGTTGATTCTATGTTTCTCCTATATTGCTGTAAAACTAGCGGTAGTACCTAGGCAAATTTCGTGCCCCTGACACTTACTAACAACCTTCCTATTATAATCATATTTTCTGTAATTTCAAGGCAATACTGTCAGCGTAGGCTGAGACGATTATACAAAACAATGAATTTCCAGCATGGATCTCGCCATTCATTTAAAGCAAAAAAAGTGACACAGGAGTTACTTAACGATGTCAAGTAAGTATAGTAAGGTAGACTTTAAATAAGGTAATATCTTTCAAAATTACCTTTCTTAATTGTGGAAGAAACAAATGCTTTTCATTCAACAAATTGTACAAAGGGCTAGTGCTCAAAACTTGTTATTCTCTCTATGACCCTTAGTTACTTAGTAGAAAACTTAGACCGCGAGCGACGGTCCTTCTTTCCTCATTGCCACTAGTGGCGAGCAAAAAAGTGAAATTATACAAAGTAATGGTAGAAAGGAGGAGAGATTACGGGAAAGGAGGTTTATTGTATTTTGAATTACCGTTTCAGTGAAACCGAAATTCACGATTGACCAGCTGCTTGTCAATCTGTCAACAACAAAAACATCTGAGTCACAAAGAAGTCTAATTTTTAGGGGCGGGATGGCAGGATTCCATATTGAACAGGAAATAATAGAATATTGAACAAAATGCAGCCAGTTGTGGTTGTGGTCAACAACAAACAACAACAATAACGTAATTACCTGACTAGCAACACATTAGTTGCAAACATATCCGAAATCTCGGTGGAACTCAAAGAACTGCGAAATTGGGTAGCATGCTGGAGTGACTCTGTGAGTGTCACTGGTTTTTCATCAGTTGAATGAGACCACTTTGTTTGCCACGTTAAATTTTCATTGTAAAAGTCTCTCTTCTTTGAAAGATAGGTTTTGTAGGTTTCATAAATCTTCTCTTGTAGTCTGCTGTTGAAAGCATTCAGCTTTGCTGGAACAAGATATTGTCCTAAGAAATGATTCTCTTGTGACAGAAGCCTGACATTTAGTTCTTGTGCGAGGTGGTCGATTAAAAAAGGAAAAACACGGCTCTTTGCCAATACATCTCTGGCATTTCTGCCGGGATATTAGGGACTTTAAGCAAAGACTACGGAAGGTTCTAGTACGGTGACCGAAAGCAAATTTTTTTTGCCACCCGTCAATGCCTCAAGCCAGGGAGTTTAAGATACTACGACGGCTATAGTGGTGAAAACATCCCTTAAAAGTGTATTCGCGTTTTTTTATTCTTTATCGCGATTATTCCAACTTGTTTACTTTGTCAAATGTTGGCGAACCCTTCCTGAGCTTGAAGCCATGCAGTGACCCTCCAACAGCAAGGAAATGTTAAAAAAAATATTCATTTAAAAAGGGCGATTCATGGGCAAATTCAGGGCTTGCCTGTATTTTATCAGTCTTGTTCACACCACCTGGTAAAATGATATGCCTTATGAAATGCTCTTTCCCATCAACTGTATTTTGTAAATTTGGCTGTATTTTTCACTTGGGTGTTGTGCTTGACACTGAAATTTGAGGCTCATGATCAAAACATGAACCTTCAGAAATTTTCACGGTTGACGGAAAAAGGATCAAATGCGTATATATTGCAATTCTGTTTCAAACATACACTGGCGTTCTAAGAATGTAAAATGCAACTAAACACTTAATGTACCAGACACTATGGCCCGCTGTGATCTTCTACTTACTCGGGAAGTGAAGTACGGCTAGTCAATAAGTTTAATTAGCAAATCAACAACTTTGCACGTGCATTTTATTGTTTTATCAACATTTCTTTGGCATCACTGCATGGCCACGATGTGAAAATGCCTAACTTCACATTTTATTGAGGACATAAACAAATGAAGACAAACGTTTTTCCTCTGTGAGTATGAGTTTGCCTACATTTGACAAAATAAACGACTTGTAATGATCGTGAAAAAGTCGTTGCCTGCTTAAAGTCTCTATTCGCTCTGTGTTGCTGTGTGTTGTCAACATTGGCTGCTAGCTGTTTTCCTTGCTCATACAGCTCTTTCCAAACTGATGGATCATTTCTCTCTGTGTTCATGACATTTATCACCACAGTTACTTCTTCTGCTGCTTCAATAAGATTTACATTACTTTCCTTGAAGCATCTTTTATAAGGAGACTGTGTTGGAAAGTACATGTTCAGTAGCAGAAAGGGTGATGATGAAATCAAATTGTTTGATGGAACACAAACACCCCCTTGCCTTCCCATCTCCATCTTCTGAAAGAGTCTCTCAATTCTGAACTCTGCTTGAGTTGTCATGAATTTCTCAGCCAATACCGCAGCTTTTGTGCTTTCTGCCTCTACGAATCCTAGAAACTCCTCTCTCACCTCCAAGGTGCTATCTTCATCTTTCCTGTCTACAAAGCAGACACAAATTGAGATTTGTTCCATTGTGGAAGCATCTGTTGCCTCATTTGCCAAAAACATAAAATTGAGCTCTGTTACAGTCTTTTATAAAAGATTTGCGGATGCCGTCTGCACAAAGTACAATGAGTTCGTTCTGAATCCTTTGTGAGGTTTACTTTGCTGTGTTGCCAAATTTGCGAAGAAATTTTAAAAGAGTTACACTTCAACGTGATAAAGAATTTATTGAGTCTATTTTTTATTCATGGTTTTATAACGATGTGTAACCTTAAAAAGCATTTGATACACTCGGCATTTTGAGTACTCCTGCAAGCGATGTTTATGAACCGCTGAAAACAAGTGGCAAGGCGATGAAAATTACACTTTTGAGACTACCAACAATCAATAAAGAAATATAATTCGGAAGAACATTTACAGAGACAACAATTTTCATTCACGAAAACAAATGAGTATTTAAGTGTCTCTAAGAATCCTAAAGTCTTTAGTAGTAAGCTGAAAGATTAAGTTTATGTTTTAAGCCGCCAGTTTCCCGGGCCTGTTCGCTGTTTTGAAAGATAAACTCAGGACAAGAAAATTGCTCAAAGCTTTCTTTCTACAGCCAAAATTATAACTAAATATTCTTCGGTAAGTCTTTTCTTTCTATTTACGGTGAATTAATATTGACTAAAGGCTTTTTAAAGTTCTGGAAGCTTAAGCTTAGATCAAACCTCATACTAGGTCAGATCAGTGTCTCAGTCAAATCTTAATACAAACGTGCATAAACTAGCTTCATAAACTGCGCCGGTGGACTTCATGAAATTAGATATAAATACAATAATTACTTAGGCTTACCATATTTCGAGATGCAGCTCCTGAAAGCTATCGAGTAAGGCAAGGATCGCTTGAGCCTTTATAATTCTTGCACGCATCCAGCAACGTGAAAAACAAAAATGATGCCATCCGAAATCGGATTATCGGCTTTGACAAGCGACGCATTTCTCAACCCAAAACCCAATAAACAAACCAGCCATGATTAAGAGAACACTCTTGATAGCAGCTGTATTTCATTTTGTACATCCAGTGGAAAAAGACAGTTAAAAACATCACAAGTCGACTCAAAACTCTGTCAGCTTCTGCTGTCAAATTAATTAACTTTCAAGATGCTGCATAAATTTTACGCATGAACTCACCTGTCAAATTTTAACCAATCAGAGCATAAAAACTGGCCGTGGAGCGTGGCCAACACGTGACCATGGTAAGAAAAGGTCTTCCCCACCTGTATTTTAAAAAAACTGGCTGAATCTTTCCATCTGAGGTCAGTTTGAAATCAAAATCGTAATAGTGCGGGGCGATACTGACAAAAACACAACATATTTGATATGAATTTAAAAAAAAGTAAATGTGAGCCTGCAATCATTTGAAAACGAATAAATTGTCAGCGGATAACTTCAAAAAATACTCGACCTTGATGGGTCGAAACCTGAGCCCGCGATACGGTCAGGTGATACTGGTCAGCGGATACCCTATTTTGACAGCTGTCAATTGATGACAACATTGATGTGCCATCAGCTTCCTCCTGGGCTCCCAAAGTAGCTAGAAAGTGTGAGAGTAAACATTGGTATGTCTGTGGTGCGGACGGACGGTCGGTCGCTCGGTCGGTCGGTCACGTGATTACCAAATTTTCTGGGATGGGTAGATTACCTTAGCTATGGGGCTCCACCCACACGCGCACTTCGCGTGCGCATAGAGCTCCGCTATCAAAAAATTTAGAAGACCCTACTTGTTTCATTCAAACATTTCAAATTCCCCAACCCTCTTGAAATATGTATAACTTGACCCCCCCCCTCCCCACCTACTCGCTCGTTCCATCACCTCCTAACCTGGAACTTACTGTAATAAAAAAATCATCCCCCTTTTAACATCTTAAATTTTTGGGGTACCCCCAATTTCTCATCAATTCCCCCTCCCCCAACAGGTTTTTGTGAATACTCCTTAAAGTCATAATCGCAAGAGATGAATATAAGTACACACACCATGTAATACTTGTAAAGTAAACAATAAATAAAGACAATAAAATGAGAGTTTTAATTTTCATAATTTATTAGGGTTTAAAAGGTATCGTGAAGCACAGGTAATCCAGGCTCTGTGATAGTACTACAGTACAGTTCCAGTAAAATTACAGTGTTTGTACTATGGGGTAAAAATAAGATCCTAAAATTTTTTAGGAAATACTAAAAAGGAAACTTACTCTGCAGTTAGGTGTTGTTGTCATTAACGTTCAAACGAATTTTTGTGATAATTTGCTCAAATTCACCCTCCAAACAATATAATATACAAGGTAGGAGGCACGAGATGGCATCTTGGCCACCATGCTCCCTTTCCAACACAACTTTTTCCACAAAATTTGAACTCCAATGGTAAATAAACGTGCTAGGATCGTAGAAATAGGATAGCAGCAGATATAGAAACCAATGAAGCTTTCCCAGCTAGCGCAATTAAACCAGCAGACTTTAACAAACTCAAGTTGTTGTGCCAAAGTGGCCGGGTCAGATCAGTGCACAGCCAAGCAAATGAGACTTTAGGATCATATTTTTCCCCATACAAACACTACAATTTTACTGGAACCGTACTGTGGTACTATTACAGAGCCCGGGGTTACCTATGGTTAGGGACTGGTCAAAAAGTATAGGGGGGGGGGCGGAGCATTTGGAAATGTGGCTGATAAAAAACACATGACCCACCCCCTCCCTTCGGCACAAAAATGACTGACCCACCCCTAAAGCAAGGTTGGAAATTGCATGACCCACCCCCTAGTTAAAACATGGATGTTTGGTTTCCTCTAAGGCCATCCCCTTTTTTTTGTTCGTTTACTGTCGAACGCGTTTCCTGATATTGGGTCGGTCGGTCAGATTGAAAAAAAAAAAAACCTAAAAAATAAATCACAAGAAGTCTCGGAATAGTAAGCCCTGGTACCCCAGGACGACGTTAAAAGTTAACATTCACATATTTGGATTAACAAAATGTACAATATACTGTGAAAAATGTTCATGTTTTGTTCCTGTTTTTCTCTATGCTGCTACTGTGCTCATTTTTGAGGTTAAAAGAATTATTTCAAGTGAAAAATGGTGTAACTACGTCGTTACTTTTTTTTGTTTTGAAAATGCCAAATATTTGGGTCGGTCGGATGACGGTAAACGGAGAAAAAAAAAAGAGGATGGCCTAACCTTGTTCTGTGCTTGACAAAATTTGTTGATACACTGCTACAACCAATATCAAAATCACAGAAATCATACCTTTCACTGAAAAGACAAATGTGAAAAACCGAACATTTCTTGTTTCGATGGACGTTTTGAGTCTTGACACAAATATACAGCAAAACAAGGGTATATTGAAATTTTCTGTCACAAAGCATATGAAAATTTCTACAAAGACAACCCATTCCTACACATTACTTGCCGGAAATTCTTAGATTAATCCTCAAAGAAAATTTCTTCCACTTCAATGGAAAGCACTACCTACAAAACCATGGAACTGCAATGGGCACAAAGACAGCAGTTTTGATTCCTTTGCCAATATTTTCATGACATATAATTATTGAAACAATAACTCTAAGCAAAACTGTCCTTAGAACAACAGTTTGGAAATGCTACATACACGATATCTTTTCCCTATGGGACAATAAGTAAAGCAGACATCGAAGCCTTCATTGAACAAGCAAACTTACATCACCCAACTTTTAAATTAAACATGAAACATTTGACACTGAGATGCAGCGTTTTTAGACACGGTTGTATACAAAGGCACAAGATTCAAGAAAATATCTATCCTTGATGATGCAAAGACACATTTTAAACAAACAGAAACCTTCTTGCACACACATTTCACCTTGTGTCACCCTCCAAGTGTTAAAAAAGGATTTGTCAAAGGAGAAGCCTTGAGAATCCTACGAAAAAACTCCTCAGAAACAACCTTTGAGGAAAATTTAACAAAAAAAAAACGCTCGATGGACAGAGGCTACCCACAAACTTTGATAGAAGACCTACTATCAGAAATAAAATTCACAAAAACGAGTCTAAACTCCCAAAACAAAACATACAAGGAGGAAAAAAAAATATTGCCATTTGTGACACAATGCCAACCCTCAATGTCTACAATAAAGGAAAGCTTGAATAATAAAAATGGGATCTTATACAAAACCAACCATACCTTCCATAACTTTTTGAGGAACCACCAATCATTTCCTTACAAAAAAGGAAAATCATTAAAGGACATGCTCGTTAGAGCAAAAAAAAAAAAAGGTTAACAAAGGGTTTCACACCCGTATAGATGCATGTGCGGCCTGTCACCCGTTACATTTTCTCGCACAACAGGTTTGTGAGTATTTTAGCAATAATTCCAGCTGGCTGTGTTTTATATAACAAGTGTGGTCAACTGTCTCGTTAGTACTTAGTGCTTATCTATGTAATAAAATAGGGTGACCGACCCCTTAAGGGTAGCTGAAAATTGCACGACCCACCCCTTCGACAAGGCTCAAAACCTCATGACCCACCCCCTCTCTGCTCCGGCCCACCCCCGCCTATACTTTTTGACCAGTCCCTTATGCTCTGATTATGTTTTGTTTGCAAGGTATCTACATATTCCTCTGATGGATGCGGAGAGGGCGTGGAGCCATGCCATGGAGTTAAAACTGTTAGCTAACACAGAATTACGTAAAAAGTTTCATTACATCAGAAGACTGCGTAAGGCAGCAAGTCACGCAAGCCAGCTTGAGGAACTCTGCCATGCTGAAGCCTGTGATGCAAGAACCAAACTTGAGTCCCAGGTACTTTAGATGTAGCATTGCCAAAGTAACCAAAATTAAGGTCTAATTGAAGGCAAGCCTGAAAAAGACCGCAGTATCAAATCCCCTCTCTGATTCACAGGCAAACTAGCAGTTTATCAGAGGTCACTTTGGCCTTAATGTTTCTCACAATCCTTCAACTATTACTTCAGGTCTTTTATAGCTTTATATCCCTCTTCATGGTAAAAGGTGATCCTATTGTAGCATTATTTTACTTGTGTCTCTAATACCAAAAGGGGACATAAGGGGTTTACTTGTAATAAAAATGACTTTTGGCCAAAAGGAGGTATCAGGATTGCTTATTACAATAATATCATTGAAACATGTGGTTATATCCATTCTCTAAGATCTCTGTATTCTCTTCATGGTTTTTAAGGAGCAATGACAATTTATTAATGATTATTTGTTCAAAATATTTTGTTGTTTCTGATTGACTCCAATCCCCTATTTGGTCCATTCCTCTCATCATGACCAGTTGGGGGAGGATGGAGAATGTTATTCACTTGGAGGGAGTAGTTTGCAGGTTGCAGCTTGCTGGTCAGAATTTGTTACGTGACATAAGGTCACAGTGGATGTTTCACTCTTAAATAGTACTTCCAAGCAACGTTGATATTGATGGGCCTGTGATGTTATTTGTCACCATATCTGTAATATGCGTGAGACACCATAACGATTGGTATATGGAAATGTTTTGTAGGAACTGGAAGTTGGTGAGAATAGCTCTTAAAGACTTCCCTTGCACCAGAATTGGGTCCAGATCCTTCAGGGCGCCTGAATATGAGTGAGAAGACAAAAGAAAAATGTTTGGAAAAAGGAAGTCCCAGAGGTTTCCCTCAAAAAAAAAAATCAGACACTGGTAGTTAAGATCGAAGAACGTGAGTGTAGTGGGACAGTTCATGCTGTTATATATGAGGTAGATAAGTCTAAAATCGGCTCGAACCACTCCGGGTTAACACATGCGTAGCTTCTTTACCAAAATAAATTAGTCCGTCTCGTAGTGAAGTGTTGTGTTCTCAGTTCTACTGGTATCAAATCCTTCTACAAAAGTGGTGGAGAATCCATTTCAAGTACAAATGCCTGCTGCTATCGAAGAACTTCAAGGCGGTGTTGCCGGTCTCAGCGAAGTTGTCAAAGGTTTAGTTAACACCGTTCAACAACAATCTGCCCTGCTGCAAGCTCACACTACAGCTTCAACGTCACAAGCACAAGCAAACTGAGCCAAAACAGTAAAAATAAATGCATAGCAAAGATTCATGGTGGTTTACCATTTATAAAAAAAATCCAGAAATTTTGGTTGTGAATTTTCATTCGGTAAGATCGGCAGGTGTTGTTTACCATTTGCCTAAAATTTCAGGATTGTTGCGCCGCACAAGCCTGGATTCTAGTTACAACATGAAACAAGTACAAAGTATTACATACCATAAACTTGCCATAAATACTTACTGTTTTAAGAAAAAAGAACTCATTTTCTGGTACGTATCTCTTTTTCTACCCTCATCTGCACTCATATCGTCCTATTTTTCCCCTTCCTAAATTCCGTTTTTCACCGGAACATGAAACAATCTTATCAACTAGCTGTGACTTATCCGTCATTATGACTCAGTGAATTGTTGATTACAAGTCATTTATAGGCCAATTAACGCTAACTCAGGGTTAAATTTTAATCTGGGTTTCTTTTGAATTTCTTTTGTTCATAGCCATTTTCTCGAAATTATTTGTAGAGAAAATGAATGAACCTGAATTTGCCTTTTAAGCTTTTAAAATTCTAAATTCCAATTTTGCCCAAACCCAGGGTTATCTTACCCAGCTTTGAAAACCCGACACAGGTTTTCTTTGATGCACAAATAGAAATAGACATAAAACGTTCATCTAAATTAATTATGGTTTCACTTGTGACAAATCTACCAAAGATTCCAGCCAGTTAAGTATTAGTCTACTTACAATAAAAAGGCATTACATGCTTGGGATTCTGTAACACTTGACATCATTTTGGGCAAGATGAAGATCTTGGCTTCCAACTCAGCATAGTTGAATTTTTTTCTCTTGAATCAACACTGGTGCACTGATTGGTGCAAGGAAAATAACCTACGCGTATTGGCCATTGTCAACCACTGTCTTTGAAATGTCCATGAAGAGGTTCTCACCTGATGGAGAAATTTGCTTGTTCCTAAAGAGAGAGAGCGAGAACGATACTCAAACCAAATCAGGTTGCACCTGAGGGCGGGGAAGAGGAGGGAGGCCTTGTGGACGGGCTCACACAACCCAGAGAGGTCAAACAGTTGATGGAGGTCAAAGGAGAGGAACGCAAGGTATAAGATCAGGAGGGGTAGAGAGTAGGGCAAGTGCTTGTTGAGGGTCGAGATGACATGGACGTGGAAGAGGACTGTGGAAGAGGACACAGGAGGGTAGGATTGGTGTGGTAGAAGAGGATGCAGAACAAAGACAGGCCAGAGTCCTGGGGTGGTTCTTGACCAGTATTTGAGTATAGTTGAGCCGCTGAAGGTTTGAAACCGTGGCCCTGTTTAAGACAAGAAACTCTTAAAATAAATACCCTGTTTAGGACGTCAACCTTCATTCTATTAGTCTGTTTAGGAATATGGACAGAATGCACGTAACAGCAAATTCACGTTATAGTTATTGCTTTTTTATAGATAATCATGATAACAATAATAATAACAAATTGTTTAACCAGGGTAAACCCGTCAGCTGAAGCTGTTATAAATGGGTGCCCTGGGCAACTATAAAATTAACAATGAAAGGAAACGATAACTAACAGATCAACTATCAGAAAATGAAAAAACTATGAACGATGTCGATGGATAAAAACTAAGAATTATATAACTATGTAAATTAAGACTTTTAAAACTCCAAAATATTTACCAGAACTCTAAAAAAATAATATCATTAAGCTGTGTTTTAAAAATCACTATAGAGTCAACTTCCTTCAGATGGGGTGACAAGTTATTGAAAGCCTGGGCTCCAGTATAAAGTGTTCCTTTCTTGGCAGATTCTGTGCGGACTTAAGGAATTAAAATATCTAAACCCTTACGCCTAGTGGAATAAACATGTGAAGACGTAATAAAATAATTCTTAAAAAGATCTGGAGTAATGTTATGGAGACACTTAAAAACAAAAATTGTCCATAGTAGAATGTACCTTAAGGGATTTTCAACTTAATTGGCATAAAATTTGATGATGACTGAGATTGGTATCCTTCAGAACAATTCTTGCAGCCCTCATTTGAAGTTGTTCTAAAGAATTATATTAGATTATTATTAGATTTTTGCAACTGTTAAAAAAAACCTGGCAACAGGTTTAAAACAAAAAAAAATTTCCACTGATGTGTCTTTGGCTAGGCACGTTGACGCACGTAAATTTTAATCACGTAAATAAAATTCCGGCAATATAAAAAGTGTTGAGCTTAAACGAGAAGTTGAGCGAGGTTTAACTTTTACGCTTACGAGTGACCTTTCATGCGTTGCCTCTATTTTATTTGCGAACGTAAATTTTTCGCGCAAATTACGCGGCACTGGAAATCAGCCCTTACACAGATGTGGACAAAATCAAAGTGGCTATAATTCAGTAAGCACACATAATTATGTAAAACATGCACAGCACAACAGAAGTGCTTAGCTGCACATTAGGCCAGAATAACAGAACGATTCAACATTGTAAATAATAATTCCAAAGAAGCACAACAACACAACAAAGTGGCTCAACAGAAGCGCATAATTTCTTATAAAGGCAGCATAACGGAACAACAGGGTAGCATAACTGCCCAACAGAATCATATAACAGCTCAATTAGAACATGAAACAGAGTTCCTATATTGGGATGCTGAAGTACACTTGTAAGAATAATTATTATGTTATCAGAAGATCTCAGATAATTTGAATCAAGAATCAGTTTTGAGGTTTAAAAGTTCTGTAATATATTTAGGAGCAAGTCCAGTTAAGGCTTTTAAGGTGAATTTTGGGTATTTATTGGTATAAGCTTCTGGAGGCACCTTGGGAATGGGCATGGGATCCAAGAAGTGGGGCTTCGTACTTGATTTAATGATTAAGTACATGACATCATCACTTAGAGTTGTAAACAAGCTAAAGTGAGCTTAGACCATAGAGGGTGGCTCCAAATGTGGATTAGAGCCATCAGCAGCTGCATTGAGTTCAGTGCGAATGTGTTTGATATTCTGCATAAAGAAGTTCCTGATGTCATCTGCTAACACAGTGCTGTCACGGTATTCCTAAAAGGTCACGTTTATTCAGAGTTTCTTGATCAAACAGCATTTTGGCAGAACTGAACAGTTTGCACTGGTTGTTGCTGTTCACTTGTATGAAATTGTTGCAGTAGTTTCTCCGTGCTTTCCTGATAATGAAAGGTGGCCTGGGTTTTCTTGGCTTTGATTGAGAAGTCACTGTGCACTATCGAGGGCTTCTATTAGCCTTTCTGATTCTTCTGTTTGTTTCTGTAGCTTCTTTTTCATTGCAGTTAGTTCTTTCTTTAATTAGTTCTGTGTGTTAGCCAGAGCCAAAGAAGCTTTTAATTCCTTGAGTTCCCGCTCATTAGATTTAAGAGATGACTTTGGTTCTGCCTTATCTTTATTGAGTTTGGCATTTTCCTTCAGGATGCTCAAAATTGAAGTTTGGATGTTCGTCAGCATTTCTTTTAGCTCCAACAGAATTGGGTCTTCTTCCTCCAAGCAATCTTCAAATACTTCTTCTTTGTCTCCATCCGCCATGCTTGGTTTCTTGGCTAAGGTGGGAACTACTTCAGGGCTGATGGCACGGTCCCTGTTATTTTTTCTTGTGTTTGTAGACATAGTAGCATTAAAAAAGTCATCGATAACAAGCAGTAACCCACCAGTGGTTTCCAAAGAGGCTCAAAAGGCAAGGAAGGCGCTTTTTCGTCGGAGCTTAAAGCGCACGTCTGGCTGCCATGGCATCACATGCCTCTCACTATCAGTCTATCTGATTCACAGATAAAGGACTTCTGTCTTCTTCTGTTATATGTAAAACAGTACCACTACGCATGCAAAACAATGCAAAAGAAAGCTACTGCATCCGAATTTATATTCAAGTTAATTATTCAGACTCTTAGCTTGATAAGACTGTGTTCCCCTCATCCCAAATGAAAATGCTTTTTAGGCAGCTCAAACAAATCTTCTCTATTCAGTAAAACTTTCTTCTGTAGTAATACCTTTGTCTGTGTGCACAGTATAAAACCTTTTTTTGTTTCCTTTTTTTCTTTTCTTTTTTGGTCTCTTTCTACTTGTCTGTGTACTGTAATAAGTGTATTAAGCTGTCTATTGTTGCTTACTTGTACTGTAAATATCATGTAATTTTGTTTTTTTTTCTTTAAAGTTACTAATAAAGTTGAATAATATAATTATATAACAACAAAAGGGTCTTAAACGAAATATAAAATCCAGACAAAACAACAAATGAAAGGTGACATGTCAAGTACTACAAATGACTACAAGTGACAAGCTAACTCTTAACCTAACATGAAGTGCAAAAAATTAACAAACAAAATTAACAAAAACGAACACAAATCACCCTACCAACTATTCTCTGTGTACTTGTTTTTAAAGATGCACACAAATTATTTTGACGCACACAATGCAGAGTATTTTATCTTTTGTTGAAAATGATCTTCTTAAGAAAACACAGGGGGTAAATGCTGAAGGGCTTAACTTACATGATGCAATCATAGTTAGTAGTTGACTGCAGTTACAGTCGTATTCAGGACTATGTTCACCCGGATGATCATACTCAACCTAATTATGAATTCTGTAATATTAGCTCACCATATTAATGACTGCTGTGTTTTTATTATTGAACAGGCATATGCCTCCTTTATGAAAGGCAGTGTGAGCATTGAACTGCAGAATTGGAAAGAAGCTCTTGAATTGTTTCGCCAAGCTAAGTGAGTGATCAATTTGTATATCTTTCATAGAACAAGTGATCAAAGAGACATTAATATACATGTCATTTTTGGTTTCTCTATAGTGGTAAATGTGTAAATTTCACAGCCAGTTTTACATGTGATTCTGATTGGATCGGTAGACTTTCAATGCCATTTGTGACTGGCCAGGGTCATTTGTTGTAGTAGATGTATTGACCAATTCCCATTGATAAGTGGAGAAAATACAGTATGTAAATAGCACTGTTAAGGAGCATATTTCAGTGGTATTTTAATCCTGTAGTTTGGTTTTATGAATTAATATCATTATTGAAAACCAGCCTAAATAATACGGTACAACCTGCATGTGTAACAACCACTAATGATAGTTGTAAGCAACCAGTTTTTCAGAATATCTTTATAATAATCTAAGGATCATGGCTGGAACCTCCTTTAGGCAGTTACACTGTATGGCCATAATTTGGGTGATCAATTGAGATCAATCCACACGTAACATACCCAGTAAAGTCAGGAACATTGAACTGTCAAATAATCCTCTTTTTGAAGGGTTGCTGTAGCGGTTTGACTGCCTAACAGTTCCTTTGGGCTTATGATAATAATTGGTCTATTATTCATTCAAAATAATTCCTAGTTTAAAAACATCGCTAAAACACGCTTACCTGCATCAATGTTAAGTTCATCTTCGATAGTGTACATGTAGGTTTGTCCAGCTCCGCAAATATTCTTCAAATAGCACATGTCACCCTCCGAGTTGTCTTCTTGCTGATATTGCATGTTTTTAGCTATTATTTTGCCTAGTTCCAGCTGTAGTTCTTACTCTTGAAACGAGTGAAATGTCTGCCATTTTTTTTCCACAACCAAAACAACTCAACCTCTTCCCCAGGTCTTCTCGGTAACAGTGCCTTAACTTGTAGCGGGCTGCATTTTGAACGTTGTTTCCTCGTTAAACACAAAATTCTTCCAAATTTGGTCATCAGTAACTGGTTATGGTGAATGATGCGTGTGCCTTTAGCCAATCAGAATCTGGGGAATATTTTTAATGAATAATAATAATTAATAATAATAATAATTATACCTGTGAGGTATTCATCTACATCAAGTGATGCCCTATGATCTGACCACTTTCCAGAACCACTCGATGGAAGAGAAGATTGATAACAATAACAACAGTTGCTAATTCCATTTTTGTGTGTACAATGATCCCTGTAATTGTATGTTATGATGAAAATGAAAACACACATCGGTTACTGCACAGTACGGATCAATGAATGAACAGCTCCCCCTTCTAAGCGTTGTTTTTTTGTTTTTCTTTGGTATTTGCTGATCAATATAGAACAATCTATGAAAAATTGGCTGGAGCATTTTCTGATGAGCAACGTGGCATGTATGTTCAGAGGGTGGAAGAGATCACACCAAACATAAGTTACTGTGCATACAATCTGAAAGAAGGAACTACAGATATCAACGATCTGATGCAGCTGAGACTGAGTGCCACTGCTTCAGGCGGAACACATGATCCAGTGTTAACTGCTAAGATTGATGTAAGTCTTTTGTTTTGATTGGCCTTAAACTGGTATACCATTACAGCAATAAGTAGTGAGGATGAGTGAGGATGTGAAATCTGTACCTCAAGTTTGACATCAACATAAAAATACAACATTCTTTCTCAATTACACACCCACTTATAAATTTGGCCACAGGGGATGGAAAGAGGCTTGGTGATTATTCAGTTAATAGCTGGTACACAAATGTTCTGTTAATCGATAAAAATTTTCTTTTGACTTTTCATGAAATGATGAGAAAGAAGTAAATTCTTTAATTTCTTTTAAAAAGACCTTGTTGGTTAAACTTTGTCCTAATAATTACAGTTATATGAATTTACTGAGGTCACTGGAGGGAAAAGATGATAAGATGATATTAGTCTTTCCCTGAAATTCTAACAACCTGTGGGCAAGGAGATTGAAGGTGGTTATTTGCTAGTTTGGCCAATGTAATGACATCTTGGAGAACCCATAGATAGGAAGTGGGGTTCAGGGAAAATTCTACAATGAAACATTAATTGTACCATTTCCGGTGTCCAGTACTGTCTGCACCTGGATATCTGAGGAAGAGAGGTTGGGCAAAAATCTCACTGATAAATATTCAGTTCTTCCTATGTCTGAGAGTTTAACATGTATTACTGCCTACAAGATACCTTTAATAAAGGGAAATGTCTTAAGGTAATACCACTTGCTAAAGTTGTTTTGTTTTAAAGTAGGACAGGTTTGTTTAATAGTTTTTTACATTAGTGGCTACAAATGAACAATCAGAAACTATTGATATTTGTGTGAAGGTGCATGATGATTTAAATTCATAATGTGTTTCAGCTCATTCTGTGAAATTAATTACAGTTGTGACCCACCACTGATATTAAATTGGCAACTACTGTTACATTTGTCAGCAGTTACATATCACAAAAGAGACCATTATTATTTTTTGACTTATATGTACATGTACCTTTTATTACATTTGGTGTCAATTCAGTATTACAGTTGGCGTATTTTTTATATTTCATTAGGGTCCTTGTTGCATTTGGCACCAATTTTGAAATATGTATTCTCGGCGGAGCTAAATTTTATGTATAAATTTCTATGTAATGTTCAGGAAGTCATTGCTCAGACTCGAGATAAAGAGGCTGCCAGTATGACTGAGGTCAGCTGGCGTGGCAGGACTGTGCCAGTCAAGAATGAGAAAGTGCGTTCATTCATATTGCATGCACAGCAAAGTGCTAGAGAATTGGACAGAGCTGAGACATTGGACAGCAAGTTAACATTATATGATGATTTACTGATGGAATGTAAAGATGCCCTGCAAGCGATCAAGGATGAGCTGAAAGTGGACACAGTGAGTTCTGACTTTCTTTTGTTGAAATTCTTAATTCCTAATACCCAAGTCTTAGACTGGTATGAGACAGCAGTTGCCTTATATACGTGTGTGAAGTTGGTCAAATTTAAACAGTGTGTCAGCCAAAGCGAAAAAACATTTTCCACTGATGAGTTCCTTCTATTTTCTGTCTGATAAAATCGTTTCAGCTGTCGTTTGGTTTTGGAAAAAGATTCAGATAAATCGGCAAAAATCTACAAGAAAAACGACAGTTCTAACTGAGCCACCATACTGTGTACTTATCAAGTCATTAAATGATTCGTGTTGTGCATATTTGAAACGTATATATCCAGCTCCAGTTGCTGGATAGCACTGTCCACCAGATAAATTACCATCCAGCGGATCAGTATTAGTTCTTTATGGAGTGTGTATACCCTATCTGGCCAGGCGTACACTAAATGTAGAGCAAAATTTATGGTGTTGTTTAAGATTATTTGATTTGTATGTGGTGTAAAGTGAGGGATTTTCTGTCCCGTTTGGACAAGTATAACATACACGTGTAACGAGTATGGACTGTGTCAATTTGTGTGTTAACCCTTAACAGAGTGAATGTTTGGGTCTTGTATGGTAGTTCCAACAATTGAGTCTGGGAACAAAATCCTGTCGTATTACCATTTAAATGAAACACTGCAAAAGATGATCTTGTGGAAGTGAAAGGATCAAAGTTGATTGGTATCTGTTTTTGCAGGTTTCTGGAAAGCTGCGTTCTCAAAAGACGGAGACACAAGTTGGAAACATGCAATTCCTTCATACTTACATTACTTTCATCCGCTTAAGTAAAACAGTTCAAAGGAATTTGCTGATGGCAGAGTCAATGAAGTCCAGTTTACCAGCCACCCTGCAGCTGCATTCTGTGGAGGAAGGGACCTCGCCAGAAGCAGGCCCTTCTGGCAGAAAGACTGCTAAACCAGAGGACCTTGTGCGGATATATGACACTATTTTGCAGGTGGGAACATAGGTTAAGATTATTGATTTTTATAAAGTCAAACTACCTCCATTCTTCACAATGGTCACGTCTTTTGTGCTGGCAAACAGGCCAGAGCCCATATATTCACTCTTGTGTGAACCTCTCTCCCACAGTTAACTCTCTTAATGTCCGTATTAGTGTCTGTAAGTTGCAGTTACATAATCTCTTAACGTTTTGTATCCATCGTTTGGTAGCAAGAGTGCTTTTTATAAGTTTTGTATTAATACGAAACATCTAGCTATAGCAACTATTGCATTATTGCTCGAGCTTCCAAAGGAAACGCCCGAGCTTGAAAATGGGCTCTTTTTTTTCTCCTGGCACAAATTGCCCTCTGGCGTTTTCTGCGCGTGCGCAAGATATAAGAGTATGCTAAAATAGGTCAGCGGACTAAAGCAGAGCACACAGGGCCCCTTGTCTTGGGCGAGCAAAGCCTTCTGTCTTTGGTGTATAAAACTCACTGTTGTCGTAAGAGTGAATTCGGTCATTTCTTACATGCGAAATCTTTAAACCAAATGCATAGGCTGTTTATCTGTAGATCTACAGTAAAAGATGGCGAGTGTAGATTTGGAACGGTTCAGTTCATTTTACTGACTTTACAAGACCAATTTACTACAAACACTTCCGAGTGAACCTTACAGAGAAGCCCTCTTGAAGTAGGTGAACTACCCGCGGAATTTGAACAGAGTGTTTGTGATGAACTTTAACTTAACTTTAACTTTATAGCGGAGCTCTCGTTTGCGTGGAGCGCGTGCAGCGGAGCACCGTAGATAAGAAAATTTAGCTATCTACCCATCCGAGATAAATTGGTTATGACGTCAGCGTACTCCGTCCGTCCGTACACTCTTTGGGGGTGAAGGAAGGGAATCAGGTGTCTGCCCGTTGGGGGCGGAGTATGATATATTTTCTTGGCGGGAAATCGTGCGATGCATTTGTGGAACCCTCGGTGACCACTGTCGTCGCGTTTAAAAACTTGTTTACTTTAAGAATTTTGGGACCGTGGCTGTCGAAAACATTTTTATGGCAACAAACAATAGCGGATCAAATTCAACGTGTTTGCTTATAAGCAGAGAGGAAGAATTATCAGGCGAAGAGCTAGCAAAGAGAATCGCCGAAGAGAAGTGTCTATGCTGCATCTTGAGACTTGTTTACTGACAGCTGCAGAGTTTTATATCATCTTATTATGATTTAGCCGTCTTTTTCTACTGGATCTACTCAAATACAGCTGCTATCAAGATTCGTTTTTTACTCTTTGCTGGCGTGTTTAATGGGTTTTTGGTTGAGAAATGTGCCGCTTGAAAAAAGTAAGCTTTCAAAAATAAGCTTCTCTTAGTACTTGCCTTGCTGGATGCGTAAAAGGGTGAAGAATCTTCCGCGATTTTGGCCTTAGTCGATGGCTATCACTAGCTGCATCTCGACCAGTTAGCTTGAGTAATTACAGTATTGCATTTGATGTTTTTTTTTCTGGTTTAATGTTCGTGAAGTCGAGCATTGTCTATGCCATCACTTTACGCACATTCATTTGGTAAGATTTGAGACAATGATCTGACCTAGTATAGAATTTATTAAGTCTCTAGACATTTTCTGACTGCGATTAAAAAGAAGTCGTTCTGAAGAATATTTAGATTATTTCGACCTCTAGGTTGTAAAAAGAAGCTATGAGCGATGTTCTTGCCCCGAGTTCATCTTGAAAAACAGCAACAGAAACAGGGCGAAAATCTGCAAGGTTTTAGTCGTGACTCAGGATTTTCAGAGCCACTTCAATACATATCTTCGTGAATAAACATTGTTGTCCTTTTAAATGTTTCATTGAATTATATTATTTCTTTGTCTTGATTGTTTGTCAAGATCTCTTTTTTATCGCTTTTCCGGTTGTCGTTTTCAGTCGTACATGAACATCGCATGCAGGAGAACTAATGTCGCGTATATCAAATGAATATGGAGTTAAGAAGTAAAAGCGAGAAAAGGCGGCACGCCACGTGTAAAAAGGCGGGTTTACGTGCTACCATGCCAGCACCAGATTTGTAAAGTAAACTTGCAGCCTACACAAAAAAAAATCTGGCCTGATTCAGTTTTCACTTTGGCCTTTCCTTTAGACAGAGAGAGGAAAAAAAATAAGTTTCTAGTACTATTTGTAAATTGGCTGTTCCGAGGACTATCGTGTCTTAACGGCCATTATAGTATAAAATCATATTTTGGGACTGTCTACTTAACGTTATAAAATAAAGGTGGTGTAGGTGGGCAAATAGGTCCTTTTGCTTGGGAAGAATTTGTTTTACACGTCTAATCTACCGTGGTCGAAGGTGATTGCTATTTTTTGTTTGTAAGGTTTTAGATCTTGTTTTATTCTTGCACTGTTTGACAATTTTTTTTTCTTTCAAAAACGTATTAATAATTCATGAGCTCAACAACCTATCACAACGTCATTGTGTCATTTTATGGTGTACAAGTCGAACGATGATCGGCCTGGGTGTACGACCTCTCTTGCCAGTACGGTGGGAAGGGCTTAAATGGTCTGAAGACGCTAATACCAAGTTGATTTAATAGGAAAGAAGTCAATTGCTTTCGCGTTGGTATCTTCAGGGTCAGTGACAGTAGGCTCAGAGATTCCAAATATCCGGATGTTAGTACTACGAGTATACTGTTCTAAATCATCTACTTGTTCGCCTAGCATGGCATTCGCTTCCTCCAGACCGGCGATTGTTTCTTGCCAAGCTTTAGTAATTTCCTGTAATTTCCCAACCTCGAACTAAAGGGTTTTAGGTAGCGAGCTTTTCAACTGAGTGTAAGATACGTATTCACCAACAGCGGTACGAGCATAAGCCATAACGAGATCCTTTGTAAGCTGAGGAAGAGTAGTAGAAATCCATTCATTTAGTTTAGTCTCAAAATGGGACCAACTCTCTTCTGACCAATTCTGGTTCATCGCTGACCCAGAAATCAGGTCTTGAGAAGCCGCTTGTTGGTTGTGAGGGGCTGCTCTGGTCTTTCCCATGATGAAGAGGATGAGTAAATCGTTAAAGTAAAAGAAAAGAGACTAGAAGGTATTACGCTTCTCTACATAATCTCCAAAAGTTGGGGATTAGAGGAGCATCAAAAACCATACGTCCATCTTGTTGAGAACCGCTGATCAGAGTCAGAATATTGTTCAAGACTCTTGACTAATATTTAAGGTGGCCCGAACCTATTTATATGCGTGTTGGTTACATTTTTGATTTGCGTTTTTCAGAATGAAAGATTCCACCGATTTCTGTGATGTTTGGCATACCAAATAAATAATGATGGAACTTTAAGAAAATGTTATTTTTTTTCTTGTAGATATAAAAACCTTTGAGATATCGACATTTATTTAAAACCACATTTTTACTAAAAATGTAAATAACTTCGAAATCCCACGACGGATTTTTCTTTAACTTTAGCAAATAAGTCTCAGAGCTCTCTAGTTTTACATCTGCACGTTTGAATGCAATCGTGACCGTAGAACTCGCTGCACAAAATGCTGGTCAAATTTAACCTTAAAATGCTACGCTAACACATTTGTGAAAGGTCACGCACGAATAGAGGTAGAGTGCCGACAGACTATCTCCTCCGTGAAAGGATATTCCTACCTAAAGCTTTATTGCAAGAAACAGAGTAATCAGAATGTTATGGCAAACATAGTTAGCACGGCAAGAAGAACAACTTTATGCTGAGTGCGTGGTAATATTACAGAACTTCTATTCATCAAGCTTACGTTGTATTTGTCTCTCTCTTTTGGAAACAAATCTTAACAAAGCAAAATATAGCGTCTACGAAAAACTATCAAGCGTTTTTATCGTCGCAGGTTCTTGTTTTGAAGAGAAAAGGCCACCAACTCCAGTACTTCTAACCATCCATTTTTCAGCTGCAAGGAAAACCCTTGTATTTGGTAATTTATTCAAGCTTTTTAGACTTGCCATCACATTCGCACGGGAAGTTTACCACTTGGGAATAAAGATGAAGACAAATTTGACAATCGTCTTATTCTTCTCATTATCCCCAACTGCAAACTGCCTGTAAACCAGTGTCAAGATGCTGCATACATTTTCCGCATGAACTCACCTGTCAAAGTTTGACCAATAAGAGCCTAAATATTGGGCGCAGAGCGTGACCAACGCGTGACCATGCTAAGAAAAGGTCTTCCCCGCCTGTCTTTTTAAATAACTAGCTGAATTTTCGCGTCCATGGTTAGTTTGAAATCCAAATCTGAATAGTGCGACGCCATGGTGACATAAACACAACATATTATATATAAATTAAAAAAATAATAAACTTGAGCCTGCGAACATTTGAAAACCAGTAACTTGTCAGCGGATAACTTAAAAAAAGTACTCAACCTCGATGGGTCAGTTTTGTGTCAACTTGTGATGTTTTTAAATGTCTTTTTCCACTGGATGTACAAAATGAAATACAGCTGCTATCAAGAGTCTTCTGTTATTCATGGCTAGTTTGTGTATTGGTTTTTTGGTTGAGAGATGCGTCGCTTGTCAAAGTCGGAAATCCGATTTCGGATGGCATCGTTTTCGTTTTCGTTTTTCACCTTGCTTGATGCGTATTAAAGAGGATTCAAAATTCTCAAGCGATTCTCGCGTTTTTTGATAGCTTTCAGGAGCTGCATCTCGAATAGTAAGCCTGAGTAATGATTGCATTTGATGTTTGTTTTTTTATATCTAATTTCATGTAGTCGAGCAGTTGATGAGGCAAGCTTATGCACGTTTGTAAGATTTGCGACAATGATCTGACCTAGTATCAGGTTTGATATAAGCGTACAGAACTTTAAAAAGCCCTTAGATGTATTTTCTCACCGCAAATAGAAAGAAAACGTTCCGAAGAATATTTAGTCATAAATTTGGCTGTAGAAAAAAAACTTTGATTAATTTTCTTGCCTCGAGGTCATCTTTGAGAAAAGCAAACACCAGGAGGCCGGCTTAAAACATAAACTAGCTTGTAGACTCAGGATTTTTAGAAACGCTTTAACACTTGTCTTCGTGAATGAAAATTTTTGTCTTTGTAAATGTGTCATCGAATTACAGTTCTTTTATTGATTGTTAGTAGTCTCTCTTGCGATTTTAATCGCTGTGGCGTTTGTTTTCAGTCGTTCATGAACATCGCTTGCAGGAATTAACTCAAAATGCCGCGCGTGTCAAACGCTTTTTAAGATTACACATCGTTATAAAACCCTTAAATAAAAAAAAAACATAATAAATTCTTTATTATGTTGAAGCGTAACTCTGTTAATGTTCACTGCAAATTTGGCGCTTGTCAAAAGTGAGAACTGGCTGGCCGTGTAAGTGATTTTGGAAATTTTTTGAAGCGTTTCGCTAAAAGCCCACAATTGATCGTCCTGAATATTGACTGAGTGCAATTTGTCTTGAAAAATTATGAAATACAGCACTCTTTCCGAGGTCTGTAGGATAAATCGCACTGTTTCACCTTAGATGTGATGTATAAAAAGCATAAAAGGTTGGTTTACACACCCCCGGATTTGTTGGCAAGATTTTGTAAAGTAAACTTGTCGAAATCAAAAAATTCCGTCTGATTTGTTTTCCAAGAATTTTTTTCCAGGCCTAATCTACTTTGATCAAGAGCCATTACGGCTCTTGAATGTGATCGAAGATAATTGCTATTTTTTTGGGTGTACATATGGCTATCAACTCGATGTACGATGTTTCACTCTAAAATCACTTAGCCTTTCCCTCAAAAGTCACATGAATTTGCCCTTAAGTTAACTGATTTGTGGATTACAAGTTTGTTGTTTCATTTAAATAAGAAATTTATCAATGGGAGCTTCGCCTTTAGCCCTGGCTAAATCTATACATTATTGGTGGTCTTTACACTTGAGCCTAAATAAGCTAAGAAATATTTCAGAAAGCTTTACACACAACTTATCTTGTTTACTTCAGGTTTACTTAAGCCTTTTTTTCCCACACAACATAATTAAGATTGATTGACATGCTTCGCCTTTCTCAAAGCTTAGAAACCGCAAGTTCGGTAAGTCGGTTTTAAGGATGGTTTTCAAGTCACTTGAAACTTTCTTGAATCATTTCAATTTTCCGACTTTAATGAGATGCAAAGAAAAGTTACTTGAGATTTTACTTAGGCCTTCACACGTATTTTTTGGTTAAGTAAAAGTTAGCAGCTCTTAAGTCTTACTTAACAGCCTAGTGTAAAGGCAACCATTATCTTAAATGTCCTGATTTTTATGATTTTGTAGAACCTGACTGACATGGCTGAATTACCAGGAATCAATGAAGACTTGACTTTCTCCAAAGAAATTGCGGCTAAAATTCTTCAGTACAAAGCTCAAAGGTTTGGCACGATCCACTTATTGCTACGAGCAGTACTCAACGTGACGCCAATGCCCACGAAGCCTTGGTTTGTTACCACCCTGCGTGGTGTGTGTCGAAAGGGCTAGGGGAGAAAGGGCCAAGGGGAAAAATGGAGAAGAGTCAGGGAGGCCATTGAAATATTTTGTCGGGCTCCAATATTGAACAGGGGCGCTGGTTACGAGCTCCCCGCGATCTGTCGGGACGTTATACCACATGATTCACAGTATAAATCACGTGCCAAAACGCCCAAATCCATCACTTGATAAAGATTCCTCGTTGGAATCGAAAGGTTTTTCTTTCCTGTAAATTGAATCTTCGTTTCATTGTAAACAGACACAGTGATGGCCATAGCATGATACAATTGATGAAGATTCACCACAAGCATACCTACAATCGGCGACAAAATTGTTGAGACATACTTAAATAGGGTATTTTCGGAGAACAAAAGAATCCCCACCCCTCCCCTGTCCCCTCCATTCAAAGTTGGGGTGTTTGTTGTTTTCTACAGGTAGCTAGAACAAGGGCGCAACATTGCACGGAGGGGATGGGGGAGGAAAGCTATATTTCCTCCTTTTGAAGTTAATAAAACGTAAAAAAGCCAAGTTTTGGGCGAAGTGTCTCAACTCATTTTGTCGCCGATTGTATGTAAAGCGATCGCCCTCGATAGCAAGTGACCCTATAACGAAAGATGACTTCTTGATATTTAATAAGTTAATATTGGTTAACTTAAGCCTTCTTTATCCGGTAGAAAGACAGTTCGATTTCACTGTTAATCCGCTGTTTTTCTTGTAGGTGCTTATTTGTGGCACATTCGTATCTGTTTTCCAAGAAGTGGCCCGAGGCAGTGTCATTATATGCCCGTGTAGTTAGTCACGCAAGCTCTGCTATCACGCATCTCCAAGAATTAGACTCGATTGAATCACAGGTTTGTACATATTATTGTCTATTTGCAAAGGAAGATGCACTTCACTAGGCGACTATCCAGGGCTTTTTTTTTATCAATGAACCGTTATCAACAGTTGACGATCCAATAGATATAATTATTGACGAACTATGTAATAAAACTGTAGTGAAACTTGTATGGCAAGGGCACAATCGAAACCCTTTCTATCGTTCGCCTCTTTGCCTTGTCCGCTTATTACAGGTTTTGTTTCACACTGATTTTTACCGACAGTATTTTTTTTTTGAAACAGGCCATAAACAGCCTTCAGGAATTGATTTCACAGGCGAGAGGCTTCAAATGTTCTGCTCATGCGTCCCATATCTTAGGTAAGTGCTAGTAATCTCTACAATATCTTTGACAGAAAAATAATAATAATAATAATAATAATAATAATGATGATGATATAGTAATAAAATGAAGCAGCTGTTGAAAAGCTTCCACCTTGGTCCAGTCCTGTTTAGTGGACACTATAGAGGACACTATTTTAAGAACACTTGTCTATGTCAAAGAGTCTGATCCCCCAGATGCACCTGACCATCGTTTGACTGGGTGGCTCCGTCACTAATACTGGAGCATTTAGCTGTGACAAATGTTCCGTCATAACTTTTTCGTTTTTAACGCGATGGCTGCGAAACTTTGCGAAGAACAACAGATATCATCCGGCCATAGTACCAAATATTCCGATTTCATTGATGGTACTTTTATATTTCTGGAGAAATTAGCGCTTAAAAGGACCCTACTGTTCAAAGAAAATCGCTTCTAGTAAAAAATTTTGCTGGTATTTCTCACTGAAATTTCTGGTATCGGCCTTAATTGATATAATAAATATGCCGGAGAAATTTCAGAAAAATCGTTGGAGCAGAAGTCCGTAACTAAAAGTCGCTCAAAATTCAGCTGTGAAATTGTTTTGGAATTTCGAAAATCAATTACTATCAGGTAGAAGAAGACACCAGTTCGAATTTCGGGAAAAGTAAATTGCTTATTCTGAAAACAAAAGGCGATTGCCTTTTGTGCTATTCTTTAAAAGGTACTTTTTAGTTTTAGAGGCTCTATAAATTGCTCCATCCTTGCTCTGACGTCGAATGGCTTGTTCCTTGACATTTTGAAAATATCCCTTGGCAGTTTTGGTTCAAACTCCTGCTACATACATTTTGATGCATTGCAATACATCCTCAACGGTTTTTCCTGCCGATACCAGAAATTTCAGTAAGAAATATCGGCAAAATTTTTTACTAGAGGCAATTTTCTTTGAACACTAGGGTCCTTTTAAGCGCTAATTTCTCAAGAAATATTTACCATCAATGAAATCGTATTAGGGAGCTTTAGCAACGACGACGGCGACGGCAAATAGGACGTCAAAAAAGCAATAGCTTTATCACGCAAAACAACAACTTTGCACGTGCATCACGCTTTTTTGTACATTTCTTTACCGTCCTTGCACGACTACGACGTGAAAATGCCTAATTGCAAGTTTTATGGAGGACGTGATCTGAACAAGCGACGACGAATCTCTTTTTCTGTCTCTAAACTTGAGTACGGTCCTCAAGAAATCAACTCCAGGGAAATTCGCCTAAACTTGCCATTTTCAGCAAA